CAACCAGGGCTGCTCACGTGTTCTGTTTGCTCGCTGCGTTGACTCAGTGCCAAAAGTGCTTTGGCAGTCGCCCACTGTTTACTGCACTGCTGCTGCCCAGTGGCAGTGGGAAAGAGCGGAGTAATGATGGAGGGTGAGGGGAAGGAGGAGAGACTAAGTACATCGACCTCTTTCCAGCGCTCGACATGACGTTTGTGTTAGAGTGTCCGTGAGGTCATTGGCGCATTATTTTTTAAGTATAATATTTCTTATACTTTACTCAACAACGCCCTTTTATTGTTTTTTCTTGGCGTTCGTTGTTTAAGGGCGATGGGGAGGAGGTACTGTTTGAGAGTCTGCTTCGTGACAACTGAAGAGTTGGACTCTATAATTTCATGAGGTTTTCGGCTCCCCGTTGTTGTTGTTGTTGTTGTTGTTGTTTTTGTTTTTGTTGTTGTTGTCGTTTACTGTTGTTCACTGCTCTTGTAAAAGTTGAGTTAGCTAGCCATATTGCAGCAATTTGTGAGGAAGCAGCGTCTTTTTTCTTTTCATTTCTAGTGGTTGTTTAACTGCTGTTTGTAGCGGTAAGTATTTTTTACGGTTTATATTAACTTTCTGCTGAATTTGATTAATCTGAGATAGTGTTAGACTTGTTTGTCCACTTCGTGCTAACTTCCTGACTGTCTGGCGCAAAAGTTTCGTTTCAATTCTTGTAGCGTTTTACAACACTGTCTCTTTGGTGAGGCTTCTGATTCTGAGAGTCTCTAAAATTCTAATGTACTTGTCATACGGTCTTTCTACTTACCTTTTTAATATTTTTGACTATCCTGATTTGTCTAGATGTGGTTGTGTAATAATAGCGTTTCGACTGCACTCAAAACTTATTGTACGAAGTGACCAAAGACATTAATGAAAAAAGCTTGCGTAAACAAGTGCTCGTATAAATGCAGAAGTGTATTCACCTGTGCAGTTCATGATCCTGCACTTCATTTTGATTTAATTTCAATGGGCTGAAGCAACCAGCATTTGTGAAAACTACTATGAACGCAGTATTGGATGGGGGTTTTACCTATCGTTTCTAATGGAAAGCATACGTTATGTAAGCGGTTGAACATAAAACAGTGTTAAAGTGGGGGAGGCACTTCTGGGAAGGCGAAAAGTAGTTCTCGAAACGGAGGGGACCGAATGCTATTTGCTTCAGAAATTTCGGAATTACCCACTACTGCGTCCTCCCCCCCCCTCCCCCCGCTGTGAAGTATTCAAAAACACCATAAAATTGAAGCAAGAATTCAGCAGTAGACTGTCAGAAATTCAGAGAGGTGAATGACTAGGTTATGGATTAATCACAGATGAGTCGGGAAGTGCTAATGACTTTAACGGAGAATAAAAAGATGGATTGACAGTAAAAAAAAAAGCCGTGTTTAGAACTGAGTACGCTGAACTGCAGTGATGCGAAGGTAA